TTTAAAAGGTTTTATATTGCTCTTTTAAAGTTTACCCATTATTTCTTCGAACAACTTCTTCAGATGTCTTTATTTTTCACAGTTAAGAGACACAATGAATCCATGCTGTACCCATCTCTGCTGAAGTAACAGAAGGAGGCTGAAGATGGGATTTTAAAGACATCTGCACTCCTTTGAGTTCAGATTGGGAGGATAACTTTGCAGAGATACAAGTTGTAAGGTGTATTTTATATTTAAACAAAACAATTTTTAACTCTACATCACCCTCCCTGTCCTCTGATCTGAATAATGCATAAGAACATATAGTACAGAGAGAAGGATGATGAGGTTATTAAAACTCAGCTTCAGATGTCAAGACACCCAGGTTCTAGTCATGGCTTTGCCACAGATTTCCTTTCTGAACGTGGGCAAATCGCTTAGGGACTGACTCAACTCCATTGAAGTCAGTGGGAACCTTCCCATTGATTTTAATGGAGTTGGACTTGATAAAATGGGTAATAATATTTATCTACCTCACAAAACTACCATGAGGCTAAATAAACTAATGTTTGTACATGTGTTGCAAGCCTTAGATGGAAGGTGATAACTCAGGGCAAAGTGTTTACCAAAAGTATCAATAAGAGTAATAACAATAAAATACATTAAATCACTTTAAAACCTCTTTATTTGAATTTGGTTTCAAAGGAATTTTTAAAATATCAAAATATATGGGGCAATGGAGGCAGGTGGATACAGATGGGGCCCAAATGTCTGCATGTTGCATTTGACTCATATCCCAATAAGGGTATCACATTTTAATGTGAACGGCCATTTAAAAAGAACGCTTACCAAGAAGTATATGTATATAACATGAACTTTTTATTTTACCTCACCCAACTGACATGGCTACAACACTGCATATAACATTAATTGTCAGCTAACATTCCAGTTCTGCAGCATTTACTATTTCCACAGCTCTCTAAAGACATAAAGCACTATTTCCTATAACCAGGGCTGTGCAAAAGTACTGTTGTGAATGATTTTTACGCCCTTGAATTTTCAATTTTCTGCACAATTCAGCAAACAGATTCTCTTCCCCACTGCCAACTGGCCCCAGCAGGCCTGCTTCCTAAACTACCCTGCTTTACTCTAACCTCTTTCCATCACTTTGAGGTCAACAACCTTTCCCAATATACTGGGTATTCACTAATAAGGGGTCTTCATGAAGGATTTAGGTTTCTTATTACTTGTTTCAGTGGCAGACAGTGAAAAGTAACCACTTGAACAAATGACCTTGTCATTGTAGGTTTATTACTTAGGAGGCTTAGGCTGTGTTCTGAGATAACTACTGAAAGGATGTTCATCTGAGATAGCCCATGCAGGCCGCTTCACATTCTTAGATACTTTTTCATTCCCTGGATGTCACTTATAAAAGAACTTTGAAAAGAGTGGATTATGGAAAAAATACAACCAAAGTCAAATCAACCTCTTTTTAGTTTTTGTTAGTTGTTCTTACAAAATCCTTTTGCATTTGTTGATTTAGCAACAGTGTTTATATAGGGTCATATCTTGCCCTCAAGTTATGTACACAGCTCCCAGTTACTTCATTACGAGTCCTATGTGCATGATAAGAGAATATGGTTCCAGCCGCATTATGAGCCTGATCCAAAGCCCACTGAAGTCAATGGAATCTCTCCACAGACTTCAGTGGCTTAGAATCAGGCCCTACTACAACAATGCCTGAAAGAGAAAATACAGCTACAGCATAATCTATCATTTCTATTTTATCATTTGCTAAAATGGCAGATATAATCTCAGGCAGGATTTAAAAAAATTCGAACTAGTTCCTCAAGAACTTTTATTTTATATTGTTATTGATCTGAATAAGTTACTAACATCTGTATCACCATTTACAGGCACACTATCACCTTTGTTTGTAGACAGGTATCAGGGTTCCCTCCCCACTCTGAACTCTGGGGTACAGATGTGGGCACCCACATGAAAGACCCCCTAAGCTTGCATTTCACCTGCTTAGGTTAAAAACTTCCCCAACGCACAAATTCCTTTCCTTGTCCTTGGACGGTATTGCTGCCACCACCAAGTGTTTTAAAAAAACATTCAGGGAGGGGCCACTTGGAGCCCTGTCCCCCCAAAATATCCCCCCAAGCCTCTTGACCCCCTTTTCTGGGGAGGCTTGAGAATAATATACTAACAATTGGTTACAATGTGAGCACAGACCAACCCCCTAGTTTTTAGGATACTGAAAATCAATCAGGTTTTTAAAAGAAGAATTTTATTTAAAAAAAAGTAAAAGAATCACACCTGCAAAATCAGGATGGAAGGTAACTTTACAGGGTAAATAAAAAGATTTAAAACACAGAGGATTCCACTCTGACTCTGCGTCCCAGTTACAAAACAGGAATAAAATTACCTTTTAGCATAGGGAAAATTCACAAGCTAAAACAAAAGATAATCTAATGCATTTCTTTGCTTTACTTACAATTTTTGTAATCTTAGATGCTCATTTCAGGTATGTTTTTAGCAGATGTTTTTGAAAGGGAGGGAAAACAAACAAAGAGAGCCCAAACAAAAACCTCCCCAACCAGATTTTAAAGTATCTTCTTTCCCCATTGGTCCTTCTGGTCAGGTGCCAACTAGGTTAACTGAACTGATTAACCCCTTACAGGTTAGGCAATTCAGGACAGCTGCCCTGTGTATATTTATGACAACTGGTAATTAATAGCTTGTAATTAACAGTTTTGGTTTGTGCTTTGAACAAGTAACACCCCTTTATACAGTGTTTTTCATCCCTATATCTCCAGGTGTCAAGTATCAGAGCGGTAGCCGTGTTAGTCTGTAGCCACAAAAACAACGAGGAGTCCAGTAGCGCCTTAAAGACTAACAGTTTTATTTAAGCATAAGCTTTCGTGGGTAAAAAAAACCCTTCTTCAGATGCATGGAGTGAAAATTACAGATACAGGCATAAATATACATACACTTCTACCCCAATATAACGTTGTCCTCGGGAGCCAAAAAATCTTACCGCGTTATAGGTGAAACCGTGTTATATCGAACTTGCTTGGCCTGGAGCATTTCCATTATTAATAGTCAGCAAATCATTTTTGTTAGAACTAACACGGTGTATGAAGTAAATAAATCTGTTCTACAATGGTTAAATTGTATCTCCTTTCTTTAATTACAACAATTATTTTATAAGCTTACTTAAAAGATACAGTATATTAACAACACAGGTACTAAACACTGCTAAATGCAACCATGTGAGCTAGGTTTCATCATACATCAATTGTTTGGTCTGTGTGTAATGCTCAGGAAAATGCAAAATTCACATAAAATACCAGAAAACGCTTTTAATTACACATCCTTACAAATTGTTGTAAAAAGGGATTTTGGTATTTTAGCAAATAGGAGCATGGGCCACTTTGTCACTTAGCCAACTATGTAAAACATAGATTGTTACGTAATATGAACTGTTAACTATTAAATACACTGTAGTTTGAAAACTTTTTGGGAGGTACAAGATGCTTTCTTATTTAAGATGCACTCCCTTAACATTTTTTTAATTTAAAAAAAAAAAACTTGTTAGACTTTGTTGCTTCATGCTACTGCGAGCCTTCTTCTTCGCCAGATCAATTATGGATTTTAATTGCAGTATTTGCAGTCTATCCACATCCTGGCTTTCTAGCCACTTAAGACCAATCTCTAACCCTACTACCACATCAGCAGCTTTGGGCAGTGGCTGCGAGGGTTCTTTGTCACTATCCTCAGGGTTAGACACATTTTCTGAGGCACCAGGTGGTTGAGGGGCAACATTATGAATTATATCTACATCTGTAAGTCGTTCATAGGTTGGACACATAGCATCTACCTCCATCCACTCTTGAACATCAGCTATCCCACTTTGAGCCATAAGTTCCCTGTAGACTCATTCTGCCCCGATGGCCTCTTCTTCTGTAAAACCTTCAAAGTTGTTCTCATTTTCGTCTTCTTCCTCATCTTGGTTGTCGTTGCTTTCAATGACAAAAGCACTTTTGAGACCACGATGCCAACATTTCTCTATCATTGATGGAGTGATTCCTAGCCAGGCTGTCTCGCCTAAGTTAAAATACATCCAGCAAATTCAATTTCTTGACTACATCCGTTACGCTACAGTTGTCCTCAACAATTTTCTTTACTAAGGCTTTACGATAGCCACATTTAAAACGTGGCTATAATGCCTTGATCGAGGGGCTGTATTTTGGACGTCGTGTTCTTAGGAAGGTAGCTCACTTTTATCTTCCCGTCTTTGCTGGTGAAGGTCTCAACTGGGGGGTGGGTGGGACAGTTGTCAAGTAGGAGCAAGGCCTTTGGCTCTAGGTTTTGTCTGCGAATCCATGTTCTTATGGTGGAAAGCCCTAGGTGACCTGGATTTGCCTATGCACAGAGGTTTAAGTTTATGTGAACAGGTTTTATTCGCGCAGAAAAGTATTGTCACTCTCTCTTTTATCACCTTAAAACCTTCGGCCTTTTGTTCTTTGGGGAACAGGATTATGCCCAGACTAGGAAGGCGTCCAATCTGTGAAAGAGACTTATTGAAACATCTTTCAGGGTGAGATCTTATCTGTATTCAGTTTCTTACTGTATTAGACATAGACTTGCGTGTTTTATTTTATTTTACTTGGTAATTCACTTTGTTCTGTCTGTTACTACTTGGAACCACTTAAATCTTACTTTCTGTATTTAATAAAATCACTTTTTACTTATTAATTAATCCAGAGTATGTATTAATACCTGGGGAGGGGGGGCGCAAACAGCTGTGCATCTCTCTCAGTGTTATAGAGGGCGAACAATTTATGAGTTTACCCTGCATAAGCTTTATACAGGGTAAAACAGATTTATTTGAGTTTAGACCCCATTGGGAGTTGGGCATCTGAGTGTTAAAGACAAGAACACTTCTGTAAGCTGCTTTCAGTTAAGTCTGCAGCTTTGGGGCAAGTAATTCAGACCCTGGGTCTGTGTTGGAGCAGACTAGCATGTCTGGCTCAGCAAGACAGGGTGCTGGTGTCCCGAGCTGGCGGGGAAAGCAGGAGCAAAGGTAGTCTTGGCACTTGATCAAGCCTGTCACACCATGCATCTGAAGAAGAGTTTTTTTAGCCACAAAAGCTTATGCCCAAATAAATCTGTTAGTCTTTAAGGTGCCACCGGACTCCTCGTTGTTTTTATATCTCCAGGTGTTCCACAAAGGAAGGTAGTAGTATTACCACCATTGTATAGATGGAGAAGCTAAGGTACAGAGGTGCAAAGTGACTTGTCCAAGGTCACAGATCAGAACAATAGCAGAGTTGAAACTGGAAACAAGGCCTAGCCACTGGACCACACCTTCCTTCTCCAAGACCCTATCAAATATTTTCATGTTCTCCCTTTCTTCTTCTCAAAAACCAGATGCTTCTATAGCCATGAGTAAGTGGACCTCCTAGAACAGGCTTCCTAACTTTCTCAGAAATGGTATCATCCTGACTCTTTGAATGACTACTTTAAGAAAAAAAAATTATAATGGTGAAGACACCGTTCAATACTTTCCCAGGAAAGAAATGGCCAGCTACACCCTGGAAATGTCTGTAAAGAAGAGGTTCAGTGAGATGTCAAAGGAAAGCAAGCGATTGTGAAGATTCACAACAGATCATTTGGTCTCCTCTGCAGAAGCTTTACCTTTGGCCCGAACGCTACACTGCACTCCAGTCAATAATCTAAGAAAAGGACCTTAGGAATGTACAAGGCTGTATCTTTTTTAGTTACCATGTGGCAAATAGTTCGGGAAATAAATCATCTGTTATTCCTGTAATGCACAATCTCTCTGTAAGGATATTCTTCAACATGCTCTGAAAAGGGTACCCACATATGCCCTGTATAGAATTCTAACAGTTTATAGTAATACTGCTTTGGATTTACAGAGTGCTTTGCACCTTCAAAGGTCTATGGAGACATTAGCGAATTACTATGGGCTAGATGCTGCTACCATTTCTCAAAGTAGGTGAAATCCTGCCTCCAGTGAAGCCAGTGACAAAACTCCCACTCATTTCAGTGAAGCCAAGATTTCACCCACTGAATTTTACCTTATTTGGGATATGATCCAACACCCTTGTAAATCAATGGGAGTCTTTCTACTAATGTCAGTGGGGTTTGGATCAGACCTTCAGTAAGCAGTCCCATTAGTATAACAGATGACCAAATATTATCCTTAAGAGCAGTTATCAAGGCCCTCTTACGTTCATAGGCACCTAAGTTCCAGTGGGGACATCCGTGTCAACTCTAAATCAATTCTGGGTAAAGTTAATAACATAGCTGGTGTTCTTAATTATAGGTACATTATTAACTCAACTCACATTTCTATAGCCAAGCTTTATTCAGTATTTCCTCTCTCCCTCTCCAGATATTGTTCTCATTGATTACAATGCTCATGAGAAACTTTCCCCCTTAACTGCCCAGGAATTGGTTTTCCAAGCATTGCTAAAAAGTGATCATATGAGTTAACAGCTCTGACTTTCCTGTGGAGGAGCAAGGTTGGCTCCACTCATGGCAGGCTTTGTTATCAATGTTATCATGTGGGAATTAGCCACTTGGTCTGCTGATAAGGTAAAGGCCATTTTAACAGCAAACATTCAGCTCTTAGTCCCTTTTTCTCACTCTGTGCCTGTGAAGTGCAGTAGGTGCAGGATGAAGACACCGTGGCTTTCATTCCTCATTTTACCATTTCTCTCGAGTCTTGGAGCAGAGGATGGCATAGGCCCAAAGGAAACAAAGCCAAAGAAAGCCAAACTCCCCCAAATCAGAGAGGAGAACAACATTCTGGTGCTGAAAAAGAGCAACTTTGACAGAGCACTGAAAGAAACTAAGTATCTGCTGGTGGAGTTCTGTGAGTATGAATGAAGGCTGTGTACTATATTGGTGGCTCCACAACTAATAGTCATGGCGTTTAAGATATGTTTGCTTTACTGTTACCTTGTCCTCCACCAGCTCCCTTTTGTTTGTTTTGTCCACATGCATTTTTTGTCGTAACTTAGATTGTAACCTCTTTGGTAGAGGGGCTGTATTTTAACATGTGTTAGTACAGTGCCTGTCTAATGGGGCCATGATGCTACAATAGTATAACAATAGGGACAGTGATACTGAGATGGGACTGTGAGAGCTTCAGGCTGCATCCTGCACAATGTTGACTGAATGCCCTCAGCTTCCATGGTCTCGGTCTAATTTTCCAAGGATATATTTTGCAGCAATTGTGTATGCAAACCCTGTATGTGCACAAAATGAGAGGCCACTTGCATGTCCCTGAATGACTTTATCTGCTGCTCCCTTAATCACTCTTATTACATTCTCTTCACTCCTTTAGTTTCTTGTGCAAGGTTCATGGCAAGTGGTAGCTCCGCTTTTATAAGTCTTTAGGCTTCTGGGGATGGTTCTTTGCAACAGTTGGGTGTGAGACTCTATTTATATTAGGTTGCAAGAGCTGACATTAATATTCGCTTAGATGGGGATTATTGTTGTGGGCATGCCTGTGGCTTTTCTTTTTGTATCATATGTGCTGCAGTCTCATTGGGGAAAATAAGAGACATATAGTGAATGGCTTACAGTATTAGAGTGTTGGGTTGGGTGATGCCTTTCGGTAGCTGAGAAGATAAAAAACAAAACCATCACAACCACATATAAGTTAAAATAGAAATAAAATCTAAACAGAGTGGACCCCCCTCTACCCCATGTATTTTGAGGCAGTGTTCAATGACACTGTTTGCCATTGCTTTAGGATTACCGTGATACACTAGGAAGCCATAGCGGGCTCCTATTGCTAAAGTAAACTTTTCCCATGGTAGCCGTGTACAGCCACAATTAACTCCTATTCAGGGCCTCAGTCTAAGGCTTTTCGCTGCTTTTTTTCTTTAAAAACTAAACTGCTGTAGATGACTCGGATTGTATCCAAGTGTTAAAACCCCTCGGTCTCGGTTTGTGGAATCTCAGAGAATCAGTCAGGGTGTTTCAGAAAATAAGAGCCAGTTTCTGGGAGAGAGCAGAAAACCCAGATGAATAAACCCCAGACACAGGAAAATATGCTCTAGTGTCATACGACCGAGGGAGAAAAGCTTCAGCCCCAACATATGGCACCACACGTGTAGCCCAATCACATCCACTTCTGCAAGATATAGAGGGCAGGATGGGAAACAGCCTCCTGTTACCCTGCAGGGCCGGACTTGGCCATAGAGGCTTGACCCTGCTGCTGCTCACTGCATCCCCCCACTGGCTGCTCAGCACCGGCTACAGACAGGACACAATAGATTTTAGGATGATTTTTGTGCCAAAATACCTGGGCTGAGCAGGGGTTGATGCTGGGTAAAGTAGCTGGCCATATGTTTGATGCCCTCCTGCCCCTGATATTCCTCTACAACCCTGCAGCACTGACTCCCACAGAGAGGCATCCTGGCAGAGTGGGGTTTTGGGGAGGGCTGGTGCTGCAGAGGTGACACCCCCACTTTCCATAGGGCCAGGGGAAGCTGTAGCTGCTTTAGGTCCCTTCTGCTCACCTAAGCAGAGGAGGTTGGCACCGCAGAATCCAATATTTTACAGCCAGAAGCGTTTGCACAGTTTTACCCATCTAGAGATATATGTTTAAGCAAATGAAAGTCATAGAACACGTCTGAATGAATGAACTCTTCCAGCACGGACCTTTGGCTGTAACTGCGGAGAAGCATCCCAACAGAAAAGCTGCACACAAATAAAAACACAGCCAGCATGATTAGGGATGGGGAAAGCCACTGGGCATGAGCCTGCCAGCACAATCCGATCCAAGAAGGTCAGATAAATTCAGAGAGCAGATCTAATCCTCTAAAGCCATTTGAGAGCCATCTCCTGTAGCACTGATAGTCATAAGCCCCATGTGGTCTTTTTAGTCTAGCTCATTTGTGAGCAAGTGTTAGTCCAGAATCATTTACACCAGGGGTCGGCAACCTGCGGCATGTGTGCCAAAGGCGGCACGCAGGCTGATTTTTAGTGGCACGCTGCTGCCAGCTGGGGTCCCAGCTCAGCCTGCTCCCGGCCTGGATTACGGAACCCCAGACCAGCAGCGGGATGAGCCGGTCTGGGGTTCCGGTCGCCGGCCCCTTGCCAGCCGGGGTCCCGGCCGATGGCCCCGCTCAGCCCGCTGCCGGCCTGGATGGATGGAACCTGGGCTGGCAGCAGGCTGAGCGGGGCCGGCGGCTGGGACCCTGGCTGACAGAGGCCGGCGGATGGAACCCCAGACCGGCAGCGGGATGAGCCGCTCAGCCCACTGCCGGTCTGGGGTTCTGTCTGCTGCCCACGCTGCTGGTCTGGCATGTGAAACCTTTTACTGGCACGTGAAACCTTAAATTAATGAAGACTTGGCACACCACTTCTCAAAGGTTACTGACCCCGGATTTACATCATAACCCCAACAAACATAGAAAAATTAGAATTCTGAGTTACTGAAACCAATCTGTCATTCTCTAATCCAGAAGTGATGCATGGGGAGGATGGACACATGGGGTCATGTGCCCCTCCAGGCCTCCCTCCCCCCCGATTTCTGCCAGGGGTGGTTTTTTTTTTTTTTGCAGGGAGTGGGTTCAAAATACATTCCTCCCCCCCTCCGCCGAACAACAGTTATGTGTTGCCTCTGCTCTAATCACCAACAGAAGTTGGCTCTTCAACAGAAGTTGGTCCAATAAAAGAGATTACCTTGTCTCGCCAGTCTCTAATTCAGGCAGACATTTTACTGCAGAACATTTTCTTCCTAAAAGGTCGTGGCAAATAGTGATGATAAAACAATGATCATGTTGGTTTTGTTTTGAAATCCCCTCAAAGCAATTGTTTTCAGCCTTTTTTCCACATGCCATCTTCTCTAAGGGCTCAATCTTGCACAGGGCTGCTCACTCTGTTCTGAGCCAGCAAATCATTTGAGACACACTGAACTTCTAAGTAGGGACTAGCCAGGGCCGGCTCCAGCTTAACAAGCAGGTGCTTGGGGTGGCCACTTCGGAGAGGGGCGGCACGTCCAGCTGTTCGGGGGCAATTCGGCGGACGGTCCCTCACTCCTGCTCGGAGCGAAGGACCTCCCACCGAATTGCCGCCGCAGATCACGATCGCGGCTTTTTTTTTTTTTTGGTGTTTGGCTGCTTGGGGTGGGCAAAACCCTGGAGCCGGCCCTGGGACTAGCTCCATTGACTTTGGGCACATTAAGCCCACACTTAGTGCGTTGGTGGATCAGGACAGGTTGCTCAGCATATGTTGCAGGATCAAGCCCCAAGTGCACAGAGACTTAACACTACACAGTAGCTCAAGAGACTATATGGAGAGGAGGTAGGTGTAACTGTAGAGATGAGGGAATCCTATATATGTCTTATATAGATATGAGAGCGCACTATAGCCAGAAGATGATGCAAACTTCCAGGCAGAGCCAGTTCTGCCAAACAAGCAGAAAGGGAGGTTGCTTGAGGCAGGAAAATGTCTTGACAGGTTTGTTATGGGGGTGACTAAGCACTATGGGTGACGCAGAGTTTTTAGTCTGCCTAGGACAGCGAAAGCCCCAAAGCTCTGTTCCTAGGGCTTAACCTTGGGCTGCTGCTCTATCGACTGTACCATACTCGGAGTGCTCAGTAAACAGGTAGTTTGCAGAACAGGTTCAGCCAGTCAGAGTTTTTTAATCTAATTCAGCCTTAATTTGGGGGTGTCGTTAGAGAGGGGCCCCAATTAAAAGCCCAGAATGCAACATTCTGAACTTGACGATGGGATGTTTGAAATCGAACCAGAATCCAAATTTCACAGAAGGCTCCCAGCTTTACAGTGAGCTGAACTAAAACATCAGATCCAAGTGCCTGTGGACTTTGGAGTGTTTGCAGCCAAACGTTCATTAGTATTTGTATTAAGTAGCATGTAGGGGCCTCAGCTGAACCCAGAGCTCAATTGCACTAGGCACCACACACACACACACACACACACACACACACAGGATAAGAAACATTCTCTGCTCTGAGGAGATTTCAATCTAAATAGAGAAGTCAGACAAGGTGGTCGGAGAAAGGAAGACTTATGATTAGAGTGGAGTGAAATCTTTCATCTGAAACTTTTTTCTGGCCAAAAAAAAAAAAAAAAAAATGATGGGGTGACACTGAAACATTTTTGATAATTTGTGTCACTTTTGCCAAATTGTTCTGATTGAAAAAAACAAACAAAAGCAAAAATCTGAAAAAAATCATAGTGTTTGGTTTTAAATGTTTTTGAAGCAAAACATTTTGATTTTTCCATTTCAAATGACTTTTCATTTAAAAGAAATCCTTTAATGTTATTAAACAAATCAGAAAGATTCAAAATGGTCAGTATCAAAATGAAATTTTTAGTTCAACCAGAAACAATTTTTTTCAAAATTTTTGATTCACCAAACAGTCTGTAAAATTTCATTGTCAGTTTGATCCAAAACAAGGGTTTTTAAAAAAATTTTCACACAGCTCTAATTGTTATCACCATTTCACAGATGGGAAACTGAGACAGAGAGATGAAGCGACTTGCCCCAGGTCACACAGGAAGCTTGTGGGGCAGCCAGGAGTTAATTTTAGACCTCCTGAGTCAGCACAGGATCATCCTTCATTTCTTGGGCCCATCTCTGATTGTGGAAGGATGGACAGAGAATGAGATGGAACACAAAATTCTGCAAAGTTTGGGTTCTTTGGCTTTGGTCCATTACAGATTGGGGTTTGAGCTGCAAACTCTACTCCAAACCTAGCTGTGAATACAAGGTCCACATGTGGGGTTAATTCAGGCCTGTCCCTTATTAATCCTCCCCAACCCTTTCCCCATTGCATCTCATTACATACTTACCAGCCCCACAGTATTCAACAGGACAGTCCTGTTTTAGTG